TTTGCAGTCTGGCGCATTAACCCACAGCGCCACACCAGTACAACTGATAGATATTAGATGGGGGAATGTGGATTGATGCTGTATTGCTGTATGATTCACCAATGAAAAATTTTTTTTTAAAGAATGCAAGAGCCTAAATACCTTTCAATAGAAGGTTGCACAAATAAATTGATAGATTTGCATATAATGTTTAAACAAGTATTTGGGGAATTCAGTGTGAACTGAAAAAGGTAAGTTGTATGTATATGGTACAGTGGTTAATGTTTAATGCAAAATAAAAACACAAAATCTTTAAATATTTATTTATGTATATAGCTAGATGCACTACAAATATTCTGGGAGAAAAGTCCTAACACTGTGAATCTTTGGAGGGAAGGAAGGGGCTTACAATAGAAAGTGGTAAAGACAAAGGGACTTCAACATCCATAATGTTCAAAATTTTAAAACAGTGTACAAAGTATTAAGCTCCCATGTTCCTTTCACCCTCATGGAGGGAGATAGGATGAGTCCAAGGTGCTGATGACCCCGGTGAGGAAGAAGAGTGCCTGACAATCCACATATTGTCTAAGAAATGGCCCCTTTCAAATCCTGAACAAACTGGACAGTCACATTCCTGGTCTCAACCTTTGGACTAACTTCACCCAGATCAGAATGTTTTCCCAGACTCAGGCAGAACCCAACACAGTACAACCTAAAAGGGCATCTGTGGGACCCTAAGTTTTCAAGAAACTCTCTGCAAAAATAGGAAGACCAATGAGCAGGCACATGGCCTCCCAATCCTCTGTATCCACAATGCATGCCGCCATGTTGGAGACTCTAAGAAGAGAGCTGCTGGTCTACCCCATCATTCCCCAAGCTAGTTTAATTGAAGAAGTGCTTTTTATTGTGAAGAAATAAAACATGAATCCACATTGTTCAGAACTGACATCCAGAGACTCAGTCTTTGAGACCCAGAGATGTGGTTCCTGCCATTCCATCACCTTTGACTCCTTATCAGCTTTACTTTTGTGTATGAGGCTTCCTGCAGACACAGTTCAGAGCTGGGGTGTGTCTGTTCAATTCGTCATTCAGTTCAGGAAAATGATCTCTCATATGTCTTTAAAAACGTTTTTGCTTCCATTGCTGATTTTCCATTTCGCTGTCACATAAACTATTTTCATAGAGCTATAAATCACTTAGGGGAGATGGTTTAGAAGTTCTTAGAAGAGGTTTTAGAGGGAGTATGGTGAGGATAATAAAAACACATATATAATTTCATTAAAAACAGCAATAAAACATTATACAATGCAAGTCAAAGGGAATGTGTAACTAACAGTCATTAGTTAGTTAGAAACCTTCGGTTCATTCTTTGAAACCCAGCAAATTGGATTGCAATGAGGTTTCTTTCATTCTTTAGATTTTTTTCCCCACCTCCTAAATATTATTTTATAGTTTTAATGCTAATTGATGTTATCTGGGGAGTGCTATAGTGAGCCTGTAATATCTTGTCACCATAAAACATCTTCTGTATTAAAATTGATAACTGTAAATGAAATAAAGTAACTATGGAAAAGCTGGGAATATTCAAAACATGGTATTTGATTCTCTGTATGGAAAAAAACAGACCCTATTTTTGTTTGGTGCCATTGAATCAATTCCTACTCATGGAGACCCCTTGCACAACAGAACGAAACACTGCACAGTCCTCAGCCAACCTCATAATTGTTTTGTTTAAGCCCTGTTGCTGCCACTGAGCCAATCCATCTCATTGGGGGTCTTCCTCTTTTCCAATGACCCTTTGCTTGTCAAGAACAATGTCCTTCTTCAGGAACTAATCTCTCCTGACAACATGTCTAAAGTATGAGAGACTAAGTCTTGTTATCTTCACTTCTAAGGAACGTTTTGTCTGTGTTTTTTCCAACACAGATTTGTTTGTTCTTCTGGTAGTCGATGGTACTTTCAATATTCTTCACCAACACCGTAATTCAATTGCATCAATCCTTTTTTAGTCTTCCTTGTTCATTGTCTAACTTTTACATTCATATGTGGGATTGAAAATACCATGACTTCTGTGCTCTTGAACACTTTAAAGAGGTCTTGTACAACAGATTTGAGTATTGCTTAATGCAATACATCCTCTGATTTCTTGACTGTTGCTTCCTTGAGTATTAATCATGGATCCAAGCAAAATGAAGTCTTCGACAATTTCAATATTTTCTTCATTTATTATGATGTTATTTGTTGATCCCGTTGTGAGGATTTTTGTTTTCTTGACGTTGAGGTGCAACCCATACAGAAGACATAAACTTTTATTTTTATCAGTATTTTAAGTCCTCTTCACTTCCAGCAATCAAGTTTGTATCATCTGTATATTGTGAGTTGTTAATGAATCTTCTTCCTGTCCTGATGCCACATTATCTTTCATATAAGCCAGCTTCTT